GCTTGATTTCGTTGTAAAGCGCTATTTATTCCATATATTCTATGACATTTCTTTTCTCTGTCACAGCTTAAAATAAGTTGAGTACTGAAAATAGAAAATGAAATAATTTTGTTAATTTAAAAGTGTTCACGCGGCTGAGGATGATAAAGGACAAGCGACCGCCTAAGAGTAAGTTCAGGGTCAGCTATAGACCGTACCATAGGTAACGTATAACCATGAATTAGATTTTCTTATTCCTACTTATTATCAGAGATACCGCTGGGCTATAAATTTGTGATCCTGGTAAGGTTAGCGGCTATTCCAAGTTCGCTTTCATGATCGGCAGTCGTCTATGGTGGAACTGCTAACTGTGAGCATTCTTCCAAAATGGTGTTCCCAAACTAATCTCAACTATTTTGCAGTTGCTCCTTAGTGTATTCGGATGGACCTTCTATATGAGTCTGTGCGCCAAACAAAAAGAGCTAAAGAGCGAAGGAAGAGGAATGCCTATTTCGGTTATATTTGAGCTTCTCTTCAAAATTTTGCTGAGCTGTCAATGCCAAATCTTCGTTTAGACACGCATTGCTGGAGACAGTTGGACAAAGAAAAGTGAACCTGTGTCTCCAGCCACCTCTTTATCAAACACAACAGAAAATACGCGGCCTTTGAAAAAACCTCTTTCATGGGAACGAAGAAAACGGTTCAGCAGAGATGAAAATGAGAAGAAATCAGAGGGGACAACGGAAAAGAAGGCCAGCGATGAGAAGACAGAAGGGAAAAGCAGTAAGAAAGAGCAGAAGGAAAAGGAGGGAAAACCAAACAAAGAGGAGAATAAAGCAATTAAAGTTGAAGAAAAATCGAAGAAAGCTCCTGAAGCTGAAAAACCTATAAAAACAGATCGAACAATTGGCGAGAAAACAGAACAGATGGACTTGAAACCTACAGCGAGTGCGACAAAACTAAGTGAGGCAAAAACTCAAATGATGGAGATTTCACTACCCGACTCCATTAGTAAGTGCTTGAAAGGTTTAGGAAAAAAAGAGTGATTATTTCCTTGTCATTTCTTATGTGAAAGTGGGACGTTTGAACAAAAAATTTGAAAAATCCTGTTTCAGAGGATGGTGCATCCAGTAGGGAGGCAAAACTTCCAGGGGAAACTTTGGCATTGCTGGCAGCTGCAGAACAAATGGGTAAAAAATGGAGAACACTTCGCTAGGAAAGAAGAAATAGAAAGTTATTAATATTTTCAGCACTTGAGAACAAAGGTGACTACGATAATTTCGGTCCACCTGAAGCAAAATGAAAAAGATGAGTAGATTGATGCGCCAAGACACTCCATAAATTCAAGAATTTAGCGTCATTCTAATTCAGCGAATGTGTTATATTGTCTACGCTTCATTGGAGTAATAAACATTATTTCTTTTTTAAAAGTGATCAATTCAAGTAAAATATGTCGTTGACCTTCTT